TGACAATTCTTTTCAATATCCCTCGTTGAGGAAGATTCCCATTCCAAACTCCAAATAGATCCAAAAGTATGGGAAATCATAAATTAGTGACCAATTTACATATCCCCCTCTTATTGGGGTAGCACTACCGGCTCAAAAAGAAATCGGTCACACAAAAGAAAACCTGCCACAACCCCAAGCTTCAAAAGCTAGCGTACAAAATGCCGGACGATTCAGACAACCAATCTTATTAAAAGGCTAAACGGGCACAAAAAAATTAGAGGGAAAACGCCACTCTTGCCAACCTAGTCGACGGTACGCCGCCAGTAGAAAGAACAACCGAACTATATCTGTGGTGATGGCCGTATGGCCCGTGCCAAAGAATCGAGGTTGCGTCAACGAGATCGAATTACCCGAACGCTATCTATGGTGGCGACCGGACGGCCAGTCACAGAAAATCGAGGAAGAATAGGTTAAGAAACAAAACAATGCTTACTAGGCTCGCCAAGGAATACCGAAGCAATGAAAAGCAAATGTGGTCCCTCGTCTCATAGGGTGACAGATGCTAATGGTTATGACTCCTTCTAATGCCCAACTAATACTCTGTTTTTTGCATTAGTTTCTCTCAGTAAACCGGTGTCACTTAAGAGAAAACCAAGCGAACAAGGGGCCACGCACACAACCGTTGCAGCATAAAATATTTATGGTTCGGTAACACAATCGGCCGGGGAGTACAAGTCCGAAACTAAAGGAACCGAGTCTACAAAAGAACATGTGTTCAAATCGCAAAATCGATATGAACCTAATAAACAAGAATTTTAATTGTTAAGAAGCACTCGCCAAACAGCAAAAGGTGAAGGAAATGGACAGTACAATTAATTCTACAAGGTACTAATAAAATAAACCCGTTACTTCGCAAATGTGCCAGCACTGGTACTTTAAAAATGCTAAATTTTATCATTGAAATATGAAACCGTCACAAGTCCTCGAACCACAACTAGAACAATCTCAAAGCAGATTCAGGAAGCATACACGACCACATCTCCAGCAAATTATGGAAAAGGTACAAAACGGCAATACATAGATCTATCCAGCTTTCCTAGACCTGGAGAAAGCATTTGACAAACTTCCAAAATATGTGGTGAGGTGGAGTTGGATAGAGCGAAGTGTTGAAGGAAGACTAATTTCAGCCATAATGTCCACATATACGAACAGTAAAAATTGGGTCACAACCGACAACATGCAATGAGCATGTTTTACAGTAAACGAGGGCGTTAGGTAGGGAAGCGTTTCAAATCCGTTACTATTTAACTTAGTACCAGTACCAGGTTTCTTAGTAGGATATAAAGATCTGGAACTCGTTTGGATACGCGAATGTGCGTCTGCAGATGATGTGGTTTTGTTTGCAAAAATGAAAGTGAACTTAAGAAGAAACTGGAAATCTGGAACAACAGGCCAAATGAGAAAAACCTTAAAATCAACGAAGAAAAAGCGAAAATTGTGATTATGTCCAAAACAAATGGAATTCTGAACATCGAATTAAATAAGAAACGAATAGAGCAAGTTGACGTTTTTAAATACCTGAGCGTACAACTAAGTAGCAACGGGTGTCATCAAACAGAACTAAATGCGAGAATCCAGGGTGCTTTAAGACTATTTGTAACTTTAAAATCAAGCTCTATGTGTTCATCCGTTCGTTGTTTAAGTGCGGACACGTGCGAGTAACATGGATGCGCGGCCTCTGAAGATGCCATATTTAGGCAAAACGTCAGGCGAATGATCCTACTACAGGGTCAAACAACGAAAGGATGAACACCCGGATTACCACCAATACATATATATATATATATATATATATATATATATATATATATATATATATATATATATATATATATATATATATATATATATATATATATATATATATATATATATATATATATATATATATATATATATATAATCCTATAATCCTAACGCGAAATGAAGGCGGTTTAGATGAAAAAAGCAATATTTTGAGCCTTTATGTTTATACTTATACTTAAAAAAAGGCAGATGCTAGTCAGGAACGATACGCAAAAATCGAAATACAATAAATAGTAATTTTTCAAAGAAACTTCCACAGGCTACTGTACATACTTTTTACAAAACTTCTGGATTCCTCTTGCGTCGGTTTTTGTTGAGTCGAACTTGCTGACGTTTCGCCAATCATCCTGTTGACTTCTTCAGAGTTTGACTGAAACTGGCTCACTTTTTACTCTGTACCTGCTTATATTACATATATTGTTAGAGGGAGGCGGAGCTAAATGACAGCAACCTATCAATCTCAACCGCAACTCAGGTCTTTACCTCAAGTCAAATTAATTTCAAACAAATATTTAGATTAAATGAAAAATCGCATACTCTTACTGTGTTGAAAATCAGGTATTATTAATTTCCTCACTTGCTTTTTGACTTGGTTTGAGTTTTGTTCATTTTCGAAGCTCCATTAAAAAGATACTAATTTTGTTTTTTTTTTTGGTTCACTCTAAATCATAGTCTTATGGACTCGATATAACACTAGCCGGGTTTGTCATTGAACGCTCGAGATCTAGGTAAAGATTTTCTTACCAACCGGAAACAGTCAGTGTTTATTGTTCAAATTAAGCCCTTTATGTTACTCGACTTCCTCATTTCTTAAGGTTTTTATCTCTTGTAAGCAGTGATGCTTATGCGAATGACACGCAATCTTACATATCTTTTTACCCCTCAATGCCGGAAGCTATCCCTGCCATTAATTACGACTTGCAAAACCATTCTGAAAAGCACTGCCTCCAAATAAATACAAGTAAATTCACTGTGATGGTGGAGAAAAACGTCCGTCGAAAGATATAAATATAGCGCACAAGTTATTCATCAATCAATTATTATGTGGTTTAGTTTTTGACTATGAACTGCGATTCACTAATCATATTAACAAAAATTTGCCATCCGGCTGTATTTATCTAAGGTTGGTCTATCAAAACAGGTCAGTTCTTATAAGACAAACGAAATATCTGTTTTGTGTGAATTCCTGGTATTTTCGCTCCATCGATGATCCATGCTTAAAAACCCAAAAATATCTCCATGGAAAAATAAGCTACAGATCAGATGTTCACAATATTAACGTGCGAGTTACACCGTCGTGTCATTTTTCACCAATGTTTAAATGTTCTTTTTTCTACCAAATAGTTCAGTTTCTACCTGTAAATATTGTAACCAATAGTTTAAAAAAAGTCAATTTTAGAAACATCTATTTTCATTTTTGTTTGGTAAGTGTGGTATAGTCTAACAAACTATATGTACTTTAGAGAAAAGAAATTTTAGTCCCTTTATTAATAATTATTGGTACTGGATGCTTGAGTGATTTTGTATGTCGCAGATATTAGTTATCTATCTTAAACGAGTTATTACCAATGTTTAGACTATATTAGGATTAGGATTTTTTGTTCGTTAATGCGTTTCTTGATGTTCTACATGTTTGGGACATGATCCACATTTCAACTTGTAGACTCTGGATTTCGGTTTTTTTAAGTTCTTCGTGATTTAGTTTTATTATACTTTAAAAATTTTCCTATGGCGTTTTCAGTCCAAAAAACAATCTTAAGGCCAAATTTAGATATATGTTTTCAAATTTTCTTGCTATGTTTTTCTATGTATTTTATTGTTTTATAAATTTTGGGTTCGATGTTTAATATGGAATAGTCTAGAGTTATTTGAAACTGTTTTTTAGTTATAATCTTATCTATCTACTGTTAAGTTCCATTTGTTTTATAATATTTAATTCGTTTTCATAATTTTCTGTGAAAAGTGGTATATTAAGTAGTCCGTGGAAAAAGAATAAAAAGCAGCCATTTTGTGTGTGTGTGTGTGTGTGTGTGTGTGTGTGTGTGTGTGTGTGTGTGTGTGTGTGTGTGTGTGTGTGTGTGTGTGTGTGTGTGTGTGTCAGGGTGGTCTTACTGTGTCCGTGTGTGGGGGTTTATGGTAAATGGAAAAATCTAAAGAGGCATGTAGTTCTGTCTCTACGGTAAATTTTATACGGTTATGTATGAAGTCAATATAATTCAAAAAGGACTGTAGTTGTCTTTCTGTTCCGTTGAAACAAGCAAAAACATCATCTGCAAAGTTTATGCAAGTAGTGCATCCTTCTTTAGCAATATAACTAACTAATAAGTCTTGTTTTATAAGAGGGTTGACTTGTGTCTGAATGTGAATGTGAATATTGTCTATTATGTTTATTACGTCAATCGGTGGAATGCTAGGAAACTAGAATTGCCTTAGGAGAAATTTTCTTTAATCTTGTTGATTAGTTCGAACCAATTTCTAATAACATATTTAGATTTAAAGACAATATGATATTCTAAAATTTTTATTAATCTTGTTGAAAATTTAACTGTTGGTGCTGTTACAAGAAACTACAAGCCTTATTAGCATATCCTGTTTGTGTAATTCAATTAAGTAATATAATTATAGAGTTCAATGATTCAAAATTATTAGTTTTTTAGTTTTATCAATTTATAAAACAACAAAATACATAGGAGAACCTACGAACAAAATTTCGAAACTATCTAAATGTGATCTTCAGATGGCTTTTAAACAACAAAACTAAATCACGAACCACTCAAAAATCCAGAGTCCTAAAAGTTAAAATGTGAATCAATTACTAAATGACCAATTGCATTTAAACGCGATTTAAAAGGGTAATTGAGAATCTATTACTACCTTTTTATATGCACATTTGATGTCGAAATATGGTCATATTTATTAAAGGCACGGTGTTGCCGAAACAGCTGTTGTAAACTAATAAATAACTGTGAAAATCTGAACATTCTTTTGCTCTAATTTAATTGTGCCTTATTTAGTAATTTATTTTTATTCATTTATTTATATGGCACTATTTCTTCAAAACATGTTACTGAGCATATATCAGGCGATTTAGAACCCTTTGTTTTTCAAAAATTGAAATTTATAACAAACGAAAAATACAACAGGGAACTTACTTCACTATCGTTGCTATGCAATTTAAGTACGTAACCAGGTAAGAGGTCACGTCTTGCGTTCACGTCTTCCAATGCTAGGTTTGCAGCTGGCATACAAGCCTGACCCCCCTGCCAGCCGCCTTCCCCGGCTATTGGAAAAATTCCTCCAATGTGCAAAACATTTCCTTCGCCGTCGGTCCATTTTTCTCCTCCTGCCACAGCGACAGTCGCCCCCGTTATTGTGATTAGTAGCGCACAAGCCGCCCATTGTTGTATATGGTACTGGAAGCAAAAGAATGCGAATAGTTGTAAAGGAAAGAAAGAAATTTTTTCAACAAACTAAGAAAATATATATTCCGGTTACTATTTACAAATCTTCTGGATTCACCCTACATCGTTTGTTTATAAATCAAACTTTCTGACGTTTCGCCAATCATTCTGTTATCTCTAATCTCTAAAGATTTTCGATCCGTCAAAGACGAAATTCCGTTTGAGATACCAAGAGTTTATGGCATTCCATGTATATGAAGCAAAGAATACATTGGCAGAGCGAACGAGAAATATTAATTAAGCTCATAAAATATGAAAGAGATTTAAGACTAGGACAAATAAATTCATTAGCAGTTTCATGAAACTGAATATCAAATCTAGAATCCGTGAATGCAATTAATTGTTCTACCAAGGAGAATCTATAGGACTCTTAACCGCGACTGGTGAGACCACGTTCATGCCCTTCATTTCGCTCCGCCCCCTTCAAACAATATATATGTAGGTAAAGAGTAAAATGCGAGAAAGTGTAAGCAAAGCTCTGAAGAAGGCAAGAGGATGATTGGCGAAACTTGTATTTATAAATAACTGACGCAGGAAGAATCCAGAAGATTTTTAAATAGTATTACAGTAGTCCGTGGAAGTTTTTTTTTTTTTAATTGTTCCGGTTTTTCAATTTACCATAAAAACCGAGCTTCTGCAGATGGCTCCAGGAAACATTAACTAGGTAAACTTTGCAGGGTGTTTCAAAACTGAGATTTTGTAGAGAAAAGCAAAACACACCGCCAGATTTTTTTTTAATAACACAACCTACACATTTTTTATTTTCGAATTCCAGTAAAGAAGGAATAGGGTCGATCAATTTTGATTTAGACCTCTGATATTACATCCGCGTATGCCTATAGCTTCACCTAAATGCGTTGCAGCCCATCCGTAAAATCTATCAAATTATTCAATAAATTTTAAAGAGTGGCACTCTTTGATTCCAAGCTGACTACTATCAAAATTTTTAATCACAAAATTAATACGGTGGCTTATTAAGCATAAAGTGATTTTCTCTTTCTATTTATTATCGGACAACAGTCACAAATCAACACTGTTCTGAATTTTTAGCGAATTTTTTACTACATAAGTCATCTGCTTAAACAGATTACATCCTTTTGGTGAACTATTTACGTAGAGAGGGATATATTACAGAGTCAGTTATAGCGTTGCTACTTTGGGTGAATGGCTCCGATGCGTACGGTGCAGTGTGACAGTTCGGTTTGGTTCCGTGAGGTCACGGCTTAGCGAAGGCACTCTTTGACTTGGAACGAGGGTGAAAAGATGGTGTGGCTCAAGGCAAGCTGGAATAGTTCTGAAGAAAAACGCCATAATTATCACGTTATATTCTGTTTGCTCATCTGGTTGGTTATTCTTGGTTATGTTCTGTCGGCCCCGAAAAAGGTGTTAAGTTAATATGGAAGTTCTGTTTAGAAGTTAACTTTGAACATTCATTTACGTTTTTGGTAACTCAACCTGCAAGTTCCGGTTCTGCTTACTATCCATGAGTGAATTAGCCCGTCAGGAGTAGGACTTGAGTAAGGTCGTACAAACCTTTTTTAAATATCGATTGGCCTATATGTGAAACCTATAGTGAACTTTAACCTAGAGTATTTAATGTACAAGGTAAGTAACGTATCGCACATTAATTGATAATACTTTCGTCTACAAGGTTTACATAGCGGAAATCCCTTGATCAAATCGTTTACAGCTGTATTTTAATTATTTTGAGTCAACAATTATGGAGTTAGTGTTGTAATTATCAGTATCCTTTAGAGGAGTAAATTTACTGTTTTTATATATTTTTTTGATTTTCATTAATAATTCCAATTTCAAGTCGCAGGCTTCAAAACTGACATAACTAGGTGAACGCTTGGTGGCGCCCCAATCATTCTACAGAGAGCGTATCGAACCTGACTGTAGTCGAACAACAACCCAAAAACTCAAAAAAAGCCTAGCAGTTGCCGTTTTTTTCCTTAAGCCCCGTTTAAGAAAAGGGAACGTTACACAGTGTTGCTCTATACTTCTATTAGCAGCAGCTGATTTTGCGCGAAAGAAAATACTATAATAAGGGGTGTTATTTTTCGATGTATAGAACTTTAGGTTGCAATAAAACAACGATGGATTATTCGATTGACATGAATTTTATTTATCCGAAAGATAATCTTGTGGCCATTACATTTTAAATATGATTTCTGGCATATAACCGCCACGGCTGGCGCGGATGTAGTCCAATCTGGACGTCCAATTTTCGATGACTTTTTCCAACAATTGTGGTCGTATATCGGTGATAACACGGAATGTTGTCTTCCAAATGGTCAAGCGTTTGTGGCTTATCCGCATAGATCAATGACTTTACATAGCTCCACAGAAAGTAGTCTAGCGGTGTTAAATCATAAGATCTTGGAGGTCAATTCACAGGTCCAAAACGTGAAATTAGGCGGTCACCAAACGTGTCTTTCAATAAATCGATTGTGGCACGAGCTGTGTGACATGTTGTGCGGTTTTGTTGAAACCACATCTCCTGGACATCATGGTTATTCAGTTCATGAATGAAAGAGTTAGTAATCCTAGCTCTATACCGATCACCATTGACTGTAACATTCTGGCCATCATCGTTTTTGAAGAAGTACGGACCAATGATTCCACCAGCCCATAAAGCGCACCAAACAGTCAGTTTTTCTGGATGTAACGGTGTTTCGACATACACTTGAGGATTAGCTTCGCTCCAAATGTGGCAGTTTTGTTCGTTGAAGTAGGCATTCAACCAGAAGTGCGCTTCATCGCTAAACATAATTGGCTTCTGAAAATCGAGAACAACGGCAATCTCGTTTTGGGTCCATTCGACGCATTACTTGATGATCGTTTGGCTTCAATTCTTGCACGAGTTGGATTTTGTAAGCACGTAAACCAAAATAGTTCCGCAAAATCTTCCATAAAGTGGATGGACAGAGATCCAATTCCTGTGCTCAATGGCGGATGGCGGGTCTTCCTCAATGCTACGCTCTACAGCTGCAATAGCTTCTTCTGCACGCACCGTACGGCGTCTCTGGGGATGCGAGTTATCAATAAGAGTAAACGTGGTGCGAAAACGTTCCATGGTTAATCGAATTAACTGCTCTGATGGACGATTTTGTCGACGAAAAAATGGACGTAGTGCGCGATACGTATTCCGCACAGAACCATTATTTTCGAAATAAAATTGCACTATTTACAAGCGTTGTTCAGGCGTGAGTCTATTCATGATGAATTGCCAAACCAAACTGAGAATAAATCACTTGACATCTGTTAAATCGGTCGCCATGTTGAACAGTAATGCCAACTTAAAGTTCTATACACCGAAAAAAAAAACTCCCATTATTACCCTTTTTGAATAAATACTTTCAATCTAAGTAAAAGTCGAACTTTTTTGGGCTGAATGTGGCATTGAACTAAATCTAAACTCGAATGGCAACGGCGTGAAAGAAAAGGGGGGCAATTAAAAAAAAATAGACGGCAAGTAATGGGCATTCTTGTCTTTGTTATTATTATTATATTAATTAATAAATATTTTTTATATATCATTATTTTTATATTTTTTTATATAATATTTAATCCGCATACTTGAGCTGAAAGCAAATTAAATTTGATAAAAGTTCAGTACCGAGAATACCTACAATGGTTTAAGATTACATCAGACAATTTGTTATTAAAAGCAGAGATTTAAGTATAATAATACATTTGGAAGTTTGAGATTGTTATGCAAAGAATTTCTCAAAAAAGGAGCTAACGTGCAAAGTAGGTGAGACATAACCTTAAAACGATAAAATTAGATGATAAACGCCAGTTTTTAATTTAATCTTTAAGTAAGATAGATTTTTTATTTCGGACTTGGCTACTAAAAATTTTGCAATTTTTTTAAACTATGCAATTTAGTTTGCAAATTACAACATACTTAAACTTTACAATCAAAAATATATGTAAATCCAGTATATTATTGTTATAAAGTTAAAAACGATTTAATGTTTACATTCGGAGCATTAAATAGACTAACTCCGTCAAAAAAATAATGGTTTTTGAAGCTTGGTTAATTTAACTTGCATTATTTCCTTTAGTCTTCTATTATATGAGTGTATTTCTAACCTTTTTTTAAGTATAATTTTAAACTTTTTAGGAATAAATTGTGTTCAGTTTCATAAATTAAAATTAAATTTGCCGGACCGCTCTGTTTAACTGAGAACCAGAATAGAGTATTTACATGTAATCAATAGCATAACTTTGCGTTATTGCACTCATGCATTAGATTATAAAAGAAATAACTAAGCATGATTGTATTAAAAATGTTTAACTATAAAAACTATTTTTTGATTTACTTTTTTACAATTTATTAACTTCAGTTTATTTATACATAGCTACTTAAATAGCATTGCAATGCCGACTCCTAATAAAGTTAGTAGTATACCAAACAGCTTTAACCCCATATTTAAAATGTAGGCAATTAAAGTTTAATAGCATATAAGTTTTGAATATTGATAGAGATTGATCTATATGTAAGTTGCCTATGTTATTTATATTTTGAGCAATATTGTAAGAAGTATATGATATACAAAAGTGGGCCGAAAATGCCACCTTGCGACGCCGCCGCGCCGTGCGTAAACTTCAATGATCAAAATAAATGAGAACTAAAAGTTCAGATTTTCACGAAATTATATATTATGACATGACAATTGTTTCGACAACACCGTGTCAATCAAATGTAATATTTACAAACTATCTGCTACTATACATACCGAAAAATGACCATAAAACCTTAATTAATGTTGTGAGAATTTAAGTTCAATAAAGGAGAGGTATTTAAATCTTATTGATCGTTAAGCGATACATTTGAATGTCTCATCTTGTTAATCTCCATGGCTTCTAATAAATTAAATTTTCTACTTTTTGTGACTGTATGTCAAATATCAAAATTGTCGTCAAAAACGTGTTTTTCTGTG